GGCTTGGTGTCTGCGTTTTTTCCCTCCTCCCAGGTTCCAGTTACATCCGACTGAGCTCGCCATTCAGTCACTTCCATGTCTCTTATTCTCTGACATGTTTATCCTCCTGCTCAGCTCTCCCTCCTTCTGGCCTGCTAAGTCCCCACTTACCCATTAAAGACCGGCTCATCAGACACCTTTTTTGGGAAGACTTCCTCTATTTAGCAGGCAGTTAGTTGCTTCTTTCTCCCATTCATTTATGATATTGTGCTGATCTGCTTCCAGCCCTGTCCGCCCCACCAGACTACTATTCACTGCAGTCAAGGATTGAGCTCTCCCATCTTGGAGTCCTCCAGACATGCCCCCACCATCACGTCTATCATGCAAGAGGTTCAGAGAAACAGTTATTCATTTTTGGTAACCCTTTTGCCTTAGAGGTAAAGCCTTTACGCTTACCAGTAAGAATCCCTAATTCAGAGGAAAGAATTCTCCCGCATAGAAGGTATTAGGTTAAGTAAGGTAATCACTCACTTCACTTCTGGAAGCAACAGCCCGGTGCAGTGGGGTCAGCCACATGTTGTCCTTGGCATTTACACGAGCTCCTGGAACCAAACAGCACAAGTCAGAGGCATAACGGAGTCAAGGAAAGTTCTGCGGATGTTAGGTCAAATGCTGCATCTGGCTTCCATGTACCTGACACGACCACTAGATTTTCTTTTCTTTGCATCCATCATGTTCTGACAAGCTTTGACCTGGGCTAAACAGATCAGTAGAAATCTGCTTTATCTAAGAATTCCAATTATGTCTCTGAGACTAGCATGATATTTAGGTAGGAAAAAGCCAGCTTCCATGAAGCTGTTGAGTGGACATAATGTGAAGTCTCTGTAGACTGCTCACAGTTCCCTCTTGACAAGGAGTAGGCAGACAGGCTCAAGCAGAAGCCATAACAAGCTCATGCTCAGAGGTGTGTTCACGCTCAACTCTGTGGAGGCCAGGTCACAGCCAAGTCACCACCATTGGACAGGAGGTCCATGAGAATGGGGTCCCAGAAAGGAGAGTACTCACTCCTTTACCAACACCCTCATAATTTCCCCATGAGCACGAGCCCACCAAATCTATTTCCAAACACCTAAAACACACAATCCAAGCTTCTTGGAGGAAGCAGAGGATTGAGGTTTTGATCCAACTGGTCAGAGATGAAATGTTTATAGAAGGACTATGAAAAGAGAGGAGGAAATATGTATGGTAGCTTTGCTGATGCAATGAGGAGCCATTTTAACCCTACGACAAGGAGGAAGGAAGCTCCTGAGGACTAAGAGTGAGGCATAAATCAAATAGACTAGAAAGTACGCAGAGAGGGGAAGTGCAGAGGAGGTGGGACAAGGCTGAGAAAGTGAGTCAGGTGGAAGCAGGGCTGACTAATCTCCCTGAGGCCGGCAGAAGCTGGCTGATTGCTGAAAAATAGAAACCCTTTGTAAAGGCAGCAGCAGGAGACTTGCAAGGGTAAAAGTGAGGTAGAAGTCTAATTTAAGGCAATGGCTAAAAGGAAATAGCAAATCATAGGATTTAGGGGGGGGTTTCTTTAAAGAAAAACAAAGAGAATAGCATTAATCACAGAAATCAAGAACATAACACACACACACACACACACACACAGAATACCTACCCTCCAGCCCTCACTCTGATTTCACTGGTTTGAGATGGGGTTGGGCATAAGAATTTTTTTTAAACTCCCCCCAAGACCCAAGATTATATAATATGCTATCACAGTTGAAAGCCATGGGTGAATTGTTGCTTATTCTAATAAGGTTAAAATTGTGTGAATCTTGGAGCCAGCAGGTAGTGTGGTAGTTAAGGTGCTGGATTCCCACATGGCCAACTATGAGTTGAGTCCCAGATCCAGTGGTTTGAGAATCACACCAGACTTGTATGCATGAGTGTTCAAAAATCCTGGGAGAAGAATGGAGGGGAAGGGATTGCAGAGTGGCCATCATCCCCTGGGGTGGGATGATTTCTCACTTTCCCACTCTCTGTCTCTGTCTCTCTCTGGTGAGTGCACATGCCCTATGGGGGGAAAATTACATGAATTCTAATTCCACTGACTCCAGCTTGCCTAAAAGAGTTGAAGCCCCTTCCCTCAATGAGGACTACAGAGAAATCAGTTTGGGTGTGTAGAGGTGGTCAGCTAGCAGGAAACCTTGGGCTAAATGCTCTGGAGTAAAATGAATGAGATCTTGGAAGAACGGTGAGATTCATGGTCAGAAGACCCAGGGTTGAGTCCTGATGCCAGCTCCTGTTGGCCCAATGACCAAGAGCCGCTAACCCGTAAAAAGAGGCGATCACAACAATACATCTGTATCCACTTCACAGGTACTCAGGAGACATCAAATGAGTATGAAATGAAACAAAGTGCTCAAATAATATTAGCCATTTTTATTTCCAAATCATCTCTAATATCTCATTCATCTCTAAAGCTATGACTCAGGTTTTCATAGTGAGTTAATACCATAATTCCCAACAAATGAGGGGAAAGCAAATACAGAGATTTAAGAACACGAAGAGACACCAACCAAGATTGTAGAAATAAGTATCTTTTTAAGAGCAAGAGAGACTCATGTGCTAGAGACTATGGGAAAAAGGAAACCAATTGTGATAAAGAAGAAAAAACTTGGTGAATTTTAAAATAAAAATTCCACTACCAAGAAGAAACTGTAGATGTCCTCTCTTAAGTCTCAGTTTCAACAGATAACCAAGTTACAAAGCCAACTTGTCTGGTTTAGAAGGAAACAGCATTTGTCTTTTTAGGTCCTATTATCTCCTCTTCCAACATTCTAGAAACTATTTTACCCTCACCTTTTTGTCAGGCCTTTTCTTGGGTCATCAATATGTATATATGACCACATTGCATTTCTACTGCACGTTTCTCTAGTAGGCTAAGTCCATGTTTGTTACATACGTGTAGGCCATTTCTTTGGCACTTATTTCACAAACATCGTTTTCAAGCTTTCATGCAGTCCTGGTGGACTGGATTCAAGTCTATTATTCTTAGCCTTTGGCAGAGTAAATTCTGTGTAGACTCGAAAAGCTAATGCAAGAAGAAACCCAAATGACAAGACACATATGGAAAGATGCTTCTCAAAATTCACCAGGGAGAAGCAAATTAAAGCAATATTAATATATTATTTCACACCCACTGAATTGGTGCGCATGATAAATGCCAAGCGTTAGCGAGAGTATGGAGCAGCAGGAGTACTTCACATATAGCTGGCAGGAGTATAAATCAGTACAACCCCCTCTGGAAATTAAATTGGGCTTACTTAGTAAAATGGATGATGTACATACATGCCCTATCACCTAGCAATTCCATCCTAATAATATATCCTAGAGAAATCCACATTGAGGTAAGAATGTCACTGTGGCATGTTCATAACAAGAAATTGGAATGCCAACTATTGTTCAAGAAGAAAATGGATATATACACTATGGGGTATCTCTACATGGCATACTACACTGCTACAGAAATATGTAAACAAATATACTTCACAATCGCCAACACTGAATCAACAAATCAAGTTGCACATAATACCTATCAGCTACATAAAGTTTTTTTTTGAGAGAGATTTTTGCTATAGGGCGTGTGTGCTCGCCAGACCGACAGAGAGAGACATAGAGACAGAAAGCGAGAAATCACCCCCCGGGGGGATGGTCACGCCACAATCCCTTCTCCTCCATTCTCCTCTCGGGATCTTGGGCACGCACACACACGCGCCCGGCGTGAGTTTTAAGTCACCGGGTCCGGGACGCGAACTTATATATATATATATAGTGTATGTATATATAGATATGAAATAAAATTTAAAATATAGCTAAAGAGAACAGATGCCAATTCTGGACAAAGGTTGCTTTTAGGGAGAGAGGAGTAGAAAAGGGAATGAAGAGTACTCGGATGAGTGTAACTGTCTTCGATGTTTTGTTTCCTTTCTTTTTGTGCCATAGGGAGCATGAGCTTGCCAGACAGAGAGAGCGAGACAATGAGAGGGAAAGTGAAAAATCATCCCCTAGGGGGATGGCCACACCACCATCACTTCTCCTCCATTATCCTCCTGGGATTTGGGGTGCACATGCACATGCACCCAGTATGATTTTCAAGCCACTGGGTCTGGGACTTGACCTGTGATCAGCCATATGGAAGTCCAGTGTCTTAATCACTATGCCATCTGCTGGCTCGATGATATACTTGTTATATCTATTCATGTTGAAACTTACAAAATGAGTTCATTTCTTTTCATTGCTATGTGTAGTCCAACAGAAATACAGTTTTTAGACAGTCTATCAATGGGTATTTCAATTGCTTCCAATATGTCACTGCTTAAACAATTTCAAATAATGACACTAATAAAATAACTTTTTATAAATATACAAATATGCAACTATTTGTCTAGGATAGACAATTAAAAATAGACTTTATATGTGATAGGTAATACACTTTTTTCTTTTTTTAAGGTTTTTGCCATAGGGGATGTGTGCTCACTAGAGGGACAGAGAGAGGGAACATGAGAAATTAACCCCTGGGGGGATCGGCTGTGCCACAGTCTCTTCTCCTCCATTCTCTTCTTAAGATTTTGGGCACTCAGGCACACATGCCTGGTGTGATTTTCAAACCATGTCTGGAACTCAAATGATAGTCAGCCATGTGGAAGTCCACATGCCAACTCCCACACTTTTGGCTTTAATAGGTACTCTCAAACCTCCACAGTGTACCAATTTACACATTCTTAATGTTTAAGATTGCTTAGTTTACTCACATCGTCATGAACATTTGATAATATCATTTTTTAAAGAAATTGTTTAACTTAATTTTCTTCATTTTTTTTTTTTAATTTGACCAGAGAAAGAGAGAGAAAGTGAGAAAGCTAGCCTCCAGGTCTGGGATTCAAACTGCGGTTGGCCACGTAAGAGTCCAGCGCCTTAACTACCATGCTGCTGGCTCCAATATCAATCATTTTAAATACTGCAAATTTTAGTCAATAATACTCAATGAGTTTTAAAAATTGTCAATAAGGTAGGTAGGTCTCACATTAAGTGTTCGTCCCGGACATGTATACACATACAACATCCAAAATTTAAAGAACGCAAAGTGACATAAGGAAATTTTTGGAGGTGATGGATAAGCCTTTTAGTGTGATTGTGGTGATGGTTTCATGAATATATGCATACATCCAAACTCATTTATCTACATTAAATATGTAAAGCTTATTGTATATCAATTATATCTCAAAAACATTGCTTTAAAATAAATAAGTAAATAAATTTTGCAAATCTAATCGGAAGAAAATGGCATCTCACATTTGTATTCTCCTGTTTAATAAGGAGGTTGAGATTTTCTAATACATTTGTTTACTGGTCATTTATTATTCATTTTCTGAGAATTATTTGGTAACATTTTTACCCATTTCCTCCATTTTTTAATTATTTTTCTTATTTATATTTATATACACGTATTGTTATTACTATTATTATTTCTGTACTCTAAACATTTTTAGTTTTATGTAGATCCAAACGTGGTCTTTGAGATTAAAATTCTTTTCAGGGAGAAAAATGACCCCAAGCATGCTGGACCTTACAGAGCAGTGTACGCTCGGCCCCGGCATGTGACACCACCGGCATTATTTGTATGCAGCTTCAAAGTCACTTGATAAATATAAAGATAATTAGAAATCTGGGAAATGGCTTCTGTCAGTCACTGTTTCAGTCCTCCTTCCTCCACTCATCTTTCTTAAGAAGGCTGAATAGGCAGCTGGCAGGAAAACCTCCTCTCTGCCTGTAACAAAAATTATGATGACAGAAGCAGAGTTATCTGCACGAAGACACGAGAAGTACTTTATCATGTCACCTCCTGCTGCTGGCTTCCTCATCCTCTTCCTCTGAACACTTTCGAGAGTCTTGTTTACATGTCAGAGGGAGATGTCAGATGCTTTGGGCTCCGGATTGAATATTTATAACTGATTTTTCTAAGGGAAGCTCCGTGTTATTTACCTGCCTGTCAGGCACCATTGTGCACTGAAGGGCACTGTCTGCATGTCTAATGATTTACAGGCAAGCGCGTTCTCACCCAAGGACATTTTCAAACTTGCCCATGAAAATAAGCGCTAGGCTGTACTGATTTTTCAGAAACAAAGGCCCCACTAAAAATTACCAGATGCAAACTCTAATTCCAGGGTAAGTATGTTTTTTCAGCTTATTGCCGTTATCTCACAATGTTATTTTCCTATAGATCGTGAGTAAACTTCGTGTTATTTTCATATAGATCAGGAGACTCTGAACGTCTCTTCTGGAGGCAATATTTCTGTTCTTTTAGCTTTGTCCTCTAGGAAGAAGCAGAACAAAGGAAAAAGACATGCAATAAAGGTGGGCTGAGTGGCTGAAAAATCTTACGGGTCAAAGAGCATGATTGATTCTTCTGGCTGGGTTATCTGAGGGCTGGCTTTTAATGGTTGAAGTAAACATGAAAGAAAGAGCCCATGAAACATGTTGATAATATGATGATATCATCTCGCTGTGATTCTTTTAAACAAACAGGGCAAATCTTTTCATAGCACGGCAGCACTGTTCTTTAAACAATGACCTTGCAAGCATGTATGATAATTCCATGTATGTGGCAATTGCTCAAAACATTGTAAAAATTCCTCCTTGCGGTTGTCCTAGAGCCAGTAACACACCCATTAGAAAACAGTTCATTACTTCATAGTTGAACCACATTTGTGGGCCAAAATCAGCACTGCCTGGGTTAATCACCCCTTTCGTCAGATGAAATAAAGTTAAATCCATCCTCAAAATATGAATATGTGGGGACCAGCAGATGGTGTAGCAATCATGTCGCTGGACTCCCACATAGTCGACTACAGTTCGAGTTCCAGACCTAGTGGCTTAACTCATGCCAGGCACATGTGCGTGTGTTCCCAAAGTCCTGAGAGAAAAATGGAGGAGAAGGGATTGTGGCATGCCCATCTCCTCTGGTGGGTGACTTCTCTCTTTCTGTCTCTCTGTCTCTGTTTCTCTGGCAAGTGCACATGCCCTACCAAAAAAAAAAGATATCTCTAAAAAAATGAATATTTGCTATGTACAAGGGAATCAAAAGAATGATATGTCACCAGCTATGAAGGCAATCAGCACTGAGAGTGGTAAGCACATTTTGAAGTCACAGGAAATAAATTTGCAGGACTACTACAAGATTAGTGGCATAAGTTATAATATTTTATTATTTTTTAGAGGTTTTTACTATAGGGTGCATGCGCTTGCCAGAAAGACAGAGAGAGACAGAGAGACAGAAAGTGAGAAATCATCCCCCAGGGGGGATGGCCACGCCACAATCCCTTCTCCTCTATTCTCCTCTCGGGATCTTGGACACGCACACATACGCGCCCAGCGTGAGTTTAAGCCACCGGTTCCGGGACTTGACCCATGGTTGGCTACATGGCAGTCCAGTGACATAGCCATTATGCCAACTGCTGGTCCCCTCTAATATATATATATTTTAATGTTTACTTACTAGCTACAGTTGACAAATATTCCCATATTAGAAGGTGCATGCTTCCAATTTCTTTCTTTAACCCAGGACTCTCTAACCCTTTCTTCTCTGTAAAATATTTCTACAGTAGTCATTTTTCTATTGCTCTGCTTCTTATATCTCAACCCTAGTCCTTAACTTTTAGCCCCTGACAGGTTCTTATTGATCTCATTGGCCTTCTCTCTGTCTTAGCCCTGACTTGGCCAGTTCCCAAACAGAAGCTAGAATCAGGGGGAAATAAAGCCAGGCATTGGACTGGAAGTTATAAGAAGGTAACATTTGCAAGATCTGAATTCCTCCCAAGACCTTGTTGACCTCGCCTACTTAGAGACATTCAGGGTTCCACAGGCCTAGCTCACAGGAGATCATGTCAGTAGGAATTTAGCAGGCTTGAGTTACAGGATGTAAGTTCATGCAACAACAAAAAATACAGCTGGAGTGGGCCATTCTGGCAAAGGACAAATTATTTGTCCAACATGGGAGTCATTAGCACCTCATTCCTTATTAAATTGGAAAACTGTTTGGTTGGATTCCCTAAAGGGTCAGCTGCCAGATGCAAGCTCAGAGATGAAGTCACCATGCTCTGTGCTACTTCTTTGTAACTATGGTATGAACACTGAATAAAGGACCTTTCAGAGAGAATCAAAGCCACGCAAATTCCCAGAGTCTACCTCAGCTTCCATAGCTGAACAAAATTGCCAAAGAGCTTTCTCAATGCTCTCCCATGCCCTAAGTCTTTCTAATTTCATGGAAGGGAGTCGTGTGGAGTTCCGCTGCAAGTTGAGCCAAAATTAAACTAAAGATATGAACAGCTCAGTAATCCCAACACCAAACAGGTGTGCTGATCAAGATACAGTACACAACAGCTTCTTCTGACTCTACGGAATCAGCCAGAATTAAAGAAAGGATGGTAGCATTCTTCAACCAGGTAAAGGTGAAGTGGATCAAGTTTCCCAAACAATCATCATCCCCAGACACCTGAAGGAAAATATGTACCCACTTCATGCTACAGAACTAAGACCTTCCCTTCTAGATATAGAAACAACAATGCAAAGTTGAAGTCTAAACTAAAGCTTTGAATTTGCGCAAGCATGCATTCTTTAATAGGTCTCTTCATGCAAGATTTGAATCGTGGATATAGCTGGTTGGGACCATCAGGTATCATGACAAAATTCATTATTTTATGCCTCTACTGATTCTGTAATTTTCTACGGGCCAAATTTCAATTGCTAGGGTGACTAGTCAGGTGTGCATTGGCTCTTACCCATAGTCTGTGTCAACACCAAACAATGTATGTTTGCTTGGAACACAGCCCTTGAAAATCTTTAGGACTGTCAGAGCACAAGGAACACTACACAAAATCTAACGTAAGCTCTACATGATTGTCAGGAGCACAGGGCACATGTATTCTGAAGCAAAGAATACTTGTTTCCTGAGGACACCCACCTCAGGAACATGAGCCCAACAAAAACAAGAGTACTGTGAATCTCTCTCATATATCACAACACAATTGTTTCTTTTCCACAACCTTCTCCATATCTGCTTGAACACATGTATCAGCTTCTACCTTAACAAGGCTTACTCTGAAATTCTACAGTTTCCCTTGACTGCCATGCACAAAGGCAGAAGTTTATGATAGGCCTTTTGCATAGTCTGTGGGCAGAAGCATTTCCTCCAGATTTCAATCTCCCCAAACAAAAAGGAGGAGGAAGAAAGGCAGCCTGTCTGCATGCAATCTACACTGAGACGTGCACGTGCTCAGATTTACTCCAGGGATTTGTCTAGCAAACGCTCAAGGGAAAAAGCACATAATGGTTTGAAAACCTGTTTGGTGAGATATACTGTGCATACAGGTTTCCAAAAAACAGAAACACTGACATTTGAAAAATCTGATGAAATATTTAAAACACAGAGAATATCATAAAGACCAATGTACACATAAACCATATTTACCATGTTTGCTGTATTTGCTCCCAATTTTCTAAAATATGTTTCAGAGAATTGTAAGAGTCCCTTTTATACCCTGCCCTAAAAGACATTTCTCACTCAAACTGCCCACTCAGAGGTAACCACTATCCAGAAACACTGCTGTTTCTATACTTTTATTACAACGTCATTGTCATGTATCCATAAACAAGACATACTATTGTCTTGCAGCACAATTTAAATATATGTAAACATGCACAATCACACATATAAGTATGTGTATACACACTTAAAGTATGTGTTTATATATATAGTATACATATATAGCATATACAGAGAAAAAAAGAGATTGCATGTGTGTGTATGTTCATGTAAACGTTAAGAAATCAGTTTTCTTTTCTTCCCTTTCTTTTTTTACAATTTAAAAAAATGATATCTAAATATATTACCTTTACCTTTGTCCACCATGTTGGACCTAATTAGACAGCCAGAAATTAGTTTTTTTTTTTTTTTTTAAGAGAGGTTTTTGCTGTAGGGTGCATGTACTTGCTAGGGAGACAGAAAGTGGGAAATCACTCTCCAGGGGGTTGACATGCTGCAATCTCTTCTCCATCTTCCTCTCGAGATTTTGGACATGCATGCACACGCACCCAGCATGTTTTAAGCCACAGGATCTGGGACTTGAAACACAGTCAACTATGGGGGAGGAGTCCAGGAACATAACTATTATGTCACCTGCTGGTCCCAGGAATTAGGTTTTCATAGCAATAATGGAAGTTTCACTGGAGAAGTCATTGTTAAGAAAGAATAATTTAGATTGTTTTGTGTGTGTGTGTGTGTGTGTGTGTACAGATAAAATTGCTGATCAAATAAAGTTTGATCATTAAATACACATAATGAATTGGGTCTAGATTCATCCTAGTAGTTAAATCTAGTGAGATTGTCATTTCAACTTTTATCTACAGTTGATAGTTGAGTATAGTGGTTATTTACCTGACAAAATCAGGAGTTCAATGATCTCTGCATCTCCCAGAAATGCAGCCACATGAAGAGGGGTTCGCTTCTCCGAATCCTGAAACAAAAAATGTCAGAGATACACAGTAGGTCAGTGATGGCGGGAGGTGCCTTTTGTGTCGACATAATAAGACATGTCACTCTGATGTTGGTGCTTGTGAAGCAGCATGAAAGGCAAACTCCTACTTGGGTGGTTATACATTTTCTCTTAGCCTACCTCACAGTCACATGTTTGAAGGACTCTACTTCCTGTGTCTGTGCACGGTATTTGCCTACCTGCTTCTTTTACCGAAACCCAGCTAAGGTCAAGGGGAGACCATCATGCACTAGAAAATTAATTTCAATTTATTTTCAAACCTTAAGTAGAAAAATACATGAAAACTTGTCTAACCTACCTTAGCAACATAAATCCAAGCCTTCGCTGATTTTTTTTGGGGGGTGGTGGTAAGGGAACATAGTGAAATTGCTCACAAGAGCATTAAATGTAAGTATAGTCATTTTACCCTTTCTACCCTCATTAACTGTCGCCTACATCATTGCCTACTTGTAGAATACTTATCAAATGCCTCCTCTTGCCAGGAATCACATTCTGGGGATGGAAGGGTGGCCACAACAAACCTGATCCCTGTCTTCAAGAAACCTACATTCAAGTGGGGAGGCTGACAAGAGTCAGGTAAATAAAGGACACATGAGATCATTTCAGATATGATAAAGGATATGACTAAATCAATACAGAATAATGGGCTTAAGTGATTGGGGAGATGGGAATAAGAGTAGTTAGGCAAAGCCTTTCTGAGGATGTTGACATTTAAGCTGAGAGATATTACTGTCATTTTATAGATGAGAAAATCATGGCTCAAATAGATTAAGAAGTTTCCTCAAGACCCCAGAAGTATAGAGTAGGCCAAGATCAGTCCTTTACCTGTCAGAATCCAGTCTATGTCCTTGGCTAGGTATTTAGGTCGAAAGACAGCATGATAACATGTGAGGGGGCAAGGATACTGCTTTTTCATCTGCAAACTGGAGATACCATCTACCTTAGGAGACTGATGAGAGGAATCTAAATAACCTAAGTCAATAAAGCCCTAGGCAAGCAGGGGGCAAACGTACAGTGAGTACTCCTTACGTATTACAGCATTAATGTCATTGGCAAGAGCTAGCTGTATGATATCTTTCCTCCAAGACTGAAAGCCTCCTTGAGATAAAGAGCAGCTCTGAACTCCTCTTAAAGTGAACATTAGCGGGACTGGCAGATGGTGTAATGGTTGCATCTATGGACACTCACATGGCCAACTGCGGTTCAAATAACAGGCCCAGTGGCTTGAAACACACCAGGTATGTATGTGTGCATGTCCAAAATCTCAAGAGGAGAATGGAGGAGAAGGGATTGTGGAGTGTCCATCTCCCCAGGGGTGATTTCTTGCTTTCTGTCTCGCTGTCTCTGGGAATTGCACGTACCTACAGCAAAAATCTCTCTCTCTCTCTCTCTCTCTCTAAATAAATAAATAAATAAACTACTACTAGCAGCACCTGAGGTATTCAGCACTCAGCATAAATTGGTTGAACTGAACTAGTCTACATACATGGCCTCTTCCACAAACTTCCATCAACTACTCTGTAACAGTGGTGACCAAAGTCTGTCTTTAAGATTTCTCCTAAAACTAGGATGCATTTTTGTTTTCAGATTCTTGGATCCACTATTGATTTTAATCATCATTTTGGTTAACATTTGACTGTGCAATTAACCTAACAACGCTTGATTAGTCCAAGGATACTATTCTGTTTCCTGATAATTCAGGCTCTAGGTTCCTCCTCTGTCTCTTTCAGACTATTGTGTTCAGTCCTCTCATGACTCACTAATATCTACAACAGATGGTAGGCAGGAGACATGACTAGAATTGATCTTTAAACAAGTCTATTTGTTAGAAGGTATGGTAAGTAGGTTTTATGAAGGGCTGGACTAACGTTAAGTGGCTAAAAAGAAGAAAAGAGTTTGAATTAGTTGGATACAAACATCGTCTATGTATGGCTGCAGACATTATGGATAAGTGGCAATGAGGTAGTCATGCAACTCTGCAGTGAAAGTATGCGTTGGAAATTCAATAGGATACATGACCACAGTCAACCCTATGAGAGTTATATTGTATCACTCTATCTTTGAAAACAAAATTTCAATCAATATTTGATTTTTTTGTGGAATATGTTTTCTTATCTGAAAATCAAGAAGGTTAGTTTGCACAATGAACTATACTTAAGTGGGATCAGACATTCATAAATGTGGTCTAATTCTATGTCTCCTATTTATAGCCCTACAAGCATTTTCTGTTTTAGCCTTATACTCCCTTTGAATCTTTACTACATCTACTTAAAATTTTCTCTTGGGTGTTGGGATAAAAGTTAAGTAATTATATGTTCTTCTGTGAACTGAATTAGTTCCAGGGTTTGGTTAAACAAATTAAACCTCGCCTAAGTGATTTAAACAAGGACTATCCCAACCCAAATTATGACTTTATTTGACCTGGAGCGAAGTTAGTCCTCTGTTTGAGAACTTGGCCTTAAATAAAAAGCCAGAAAAAAACCAATATCCCTTCCTGCCTTGCAATTCTGGTTGGCTTGTCATTATATGACTGGTTTTGCTGATACTACGGCCCCTTTTATGACACAGCTTATTCAAACCGAAGTTTATATAATATAAAAAGGGTGTGTTCTGTGAGATCATATTGTAAAAAATTCTTGGTTATGAATCCCAGTGCTCCTGTTAACATGCATTGAAAAGTTTCCTGTGGCTTCCAGGAGAACTATGTCAACTGACACTCTCCTTTGGTGATGCGGCACAGACAAGCAACTGCAGAGACATCCAGTTCTCTCACCCTACAGAAACTTACAGTGCAGTTAGCAGTTTACAAACATAGGACATTGGAAAAGAATAACAACAGAGAAGAGGCAAATAATATTGATGACATTAAATGATTTGTGAAAATTACCAGATGTAATGAAACAAATATCTTGGCGAATAGTGAATATTCCTCCCAAACCCTCCAATTCTGAACTGGCCTGTGCATGAAGTCTCAGCTGACATTTAAAAAAATAAAGCTCTTGAGAATTGGGAAATTTAACGCATCTTTTTCAGAACTTCTGAGAGGCTCTATCAAGTCTAGTTTATCTGGAAACCTTTGAAACTTTGGGCCAGACTTCCAGGTCAGTTGCAGAGCTATCCCCTATCTTAGAGGCTGATTTTGGGGGTAATTTCTTGGTCAAAACTGGAATCAAGGACAGGTATTCACAGAAGCATTCAGACTTGGTGACCGAGCTAAGCACTCTGTACCACTGCATTTGGACACTCTGCGAAGACCAACAGTGGATGAATGGTCACATCAGTCTTAATATCACTCACAGATACAAGAGGGTAACACAACTACGAAGCAAACACAGTAAGGTGAACACAAGCCAGAACTGACTCACCAGCATAGTTTTTCAAGATTATCAAAGTATTACAAAAAGGAAGGTCTTTTCATCCCCCTGTAGCTCTAATTCCAAATAACACTCTGCAGTTTCAGGCACACGAGAAGTATGAAGACCTAGATTTCTCCAGAAGGAAGGAAGGTAAACCCTCTCTTTCTATGAATAGCCAAAGACACACATAACCAGCTGGGGTCTGAGCTAAATTTGCAGTATGTCTTAGAGAGATCAGACAGAGGAAGTGTCTGCGTCGTCTGTTTACTAAAGAAGCAGCAGATGAAAGAAAATAGGGAACTCGAAGTACGCACAGGCAAAGTGAGTTTGACATGGGCAGAGAGGCCATCCTGGCAGCTGAAAATACTGTGTAGACAGGCAGACTGAGGAGCACTCCAAGCCTCTCTTTTGAAGATTAAGAATTGTTTATTACATGCTTTGCAAATTCTGAGCTGGAACTGCATGATCTAATCTGAATTCCAAGTATTTGCCATTCACTAAAACAAACTTTCTCCTTATATATGACTACCTAACATACCAAGACAGGCAGATGGGGCAATATTAAGAATATGAGCCCATAAAATACAGGAGTTCCAGTCATCAATCCAAAGCCTCACCAAAAATCAAAGAGGCTGGGAAATAACTAACAGCTTAGGTCTAATGAGTTTAATGTGATACTGAGCAGAGATCAATGGAGACAAGGTAACATGTAAAGAAACTCAGGGCATAAAATAAATATCTTGGAGATAATTCAAATCACACTAGTCAAAGTCATACTATGTATTTAAGTTAAACCAGAAAAAAATGGAAAGGATACTTGCTCTTAAGGCAGAGATTTAAAAGAAAGTTATAAAGAGAAAAAGAAAGCAAAGGAGAGAAAACAATATCAAATTTCTTTTTAAAATTTGATGTTTACTTTCAATTTCTAACATTTCATAAATACTGGGAAGTACAGAAGTACAGACCTATGTGTTATCACCAGCAAAACCAAACATGTTAACCATTTTCTGTATCTGCTTTAGAACTCTGTGCAGAAAAATAACTTCAAGGATAAAGTGCCATGGATCAGAATGTAAATGGTTCAGAAAATAACGTGAGTGTGTGTGTGTGTGTGTGTGTGTGAGAGAGAGAGAGAGAGAGAGGGAGAGCACATATCAGGTTAGGCTGTTTTCAATTCTTTATTATTACACACATGGTGTTATAGTGTGTATATTTGCACACGTCCCTTTGTGCACATGTGTCACAATTCCTCTAGGGCAGATACTGAGAAAAGCAAATACTGGATCTTATATATCCAGTTGTATTAGGTATTGTCGAATTGCTTTCAACACTAGTTTTACTAGCTTCTACTTCCACCAGCAATATATTAGTTCCTTCCCCCCAACATCCTGGCCAATATGTGATGCTATCAGTGGTATTACTCTTTGCTAATACAAAGTGCCTGACATGGCATCCTCTGGTTCTTCAACAACAAGCTGCCTATCTTTACCCATTGTTAAATTCAGTTATTAATCTTTTTTTCTTGTGGTGTGTGAAGTTTTTTTATTGTTTAATTCTACTTCCAATGAAAATGAATTTATGCCTTCATCTAGACATGACAGAGAT